TTTTAAATTGGATTATTTGTTTTCTAGGTATTGATTTGTATGAAGTCCCTATTTATTTTGAATACTAGCCTTTTATTGGATATATCACTTGCAAATATCTTCTCCCATCCTATAGTTTGCCTTTTAGTTTTATTAATTATTTCCCTCACTGTGCAGAAACTTTTTGATGTGGTCCTGACAGTTTATTATTTTCTTTTATTTCCCTTGCCTCGGGAGATACATCTACAAACATTTTGCTGTGGCTAATGTCAGAGAAATTAAAGCCTGTGCTCTCTTTAGGATGTTTATGGTCTCAGATCCTACATTTAGGGCTTTAATCCATTTTGAGTTTATTTTTGTGTATGCTGTGAGAAAGTGGTTCAATTTCATTCTTTTGCATGTTGCTGCCAGTTTTTCCAACACCATTTTTTGGAGAGAATATCTTTCCTATTGCATATTGTTTCCTCCTTTGTCAAAGAATAATTGATTGTGTAAGCATGGGGCCTATTTCTGTGTTTTCCATTCTGTTCCACTGACCTACGTGTCTATTTTTGTGCCAGTACCATACTGTTTTGATTACTATGGCTTTGTAATAGAATTTGAAGTCTGGGATTGTGATACCTCCAGCTTTGCTCTTCAATTTCAAGATTGTTTTGCCTTTTGAGGTCTTTTGTGGTTCCATACAGATTTTAGGGTTGTTCCAGTTCTGTGAAAAATACTATTGGTATTTTGATAGGGATTGCCCTAAGTCTGTAGAATACTTTGGGTAATATAGACATGTTCACAATATTTATTTTTCCAATCTATAAATATGGAATGTCTTTCCATTTCTGTGAGTCATCATCAATGTCTTTCATCAATGTTTTCTACTCTCCAGAGTACAGGTCTTTCACCTCTTTGGTTAAATTTATTCCTAGGTGTCTTATGTTTTTGGTGCGATTGTGAATGGGATTTTCTCAATTTCTCTTTCTACTGCTTCATTATTAGTGTATAGAAATTCTACAGAATTTTATACATTTATTTTGTATCCTACAATTTTACTAAATTCAGTTATTCTAGTATTTTTGTGGGTTTTTTTGAGTTTTCTGTATGTCATCTGCAAATAGTGAAAATTTATTCTTCTTTACCAATTTTGATGCCTTTTATTTTTTTTGTTATCTGATTGCTTTAGCTAGGATTTCTAGTACAATGTTGAATAAAAGTGATGAGAGTGGATATCCTTATCTTGTTCTTGACCTTAGGGAAAAAGCTCTCAGTTATTCATTGTTCAGTATGATGTTGGCTGTAGGTTTTTCATATAAGACCTTAATTATATAATTATATTGAGGCATGTTCCCATTAAACTGCTTTGTTGAGTTTTTTTTTTTAAATCACAATGGATGTTATACTTTGTCAAATGCTTTTTCTGCATTTATTGAAATGATCATATGGTTTTTATCATATCTCTTATTGATGTCATGCATTAAGCAAATATTGAATCAACTTTGCACTGCAGGAATAAATCCCACTTGATTGTGGTGAATGATGTTTCTAACAAACTATTGGATTTGGTTTGCTAGTATTTTGTTAAGTTTTGCTTTTGTGTTCATCAGAGATATTGGGTGATAGTTCTCTTTTTTGTGATGTCTTTATCTGGTTTTGGTATCAGGGTAATGCTTGCCTCATAGAATGAATTTGTTAAAAAACCAGATGACAGCCTTACAGGATTTCCCTTCTATGTAACAGTCTTTTCTCTTGCTTAAAAAAATTTCTCTTTATCACTACCTTTTGATTAGCATGTGTCTTAGTGTGGACCTCCTCAGGTTGATTTTGTTGGGGGATATCTGTGCCTCTGGAGCTGGATATCTAATTCTTTACCAGATTAGGGATGTTTTCAGCTATTATTTCTTCAAATAAATTTTCTGCCCCATTTTTTTCTCCTTCTGAGATCTCTGTACTGTAAATATTATGCTTGATGAAGTCACTAAGTTTCTTAAGTCTGTTTTCATTTTGCATATTTTTTTCTCTCACTTACTTTACTTTATTGGTTTCCATTATTCTGTCTTCCAGGTCATTGATTTGTTCCTCTGATTCCTCTAGCCTGCTATTTATTCTATCATGTGTATTTTTAATTTTAGGTATCATATTCTTGTTCTCTTATTGTTTTCTTTTTATTTTCTTTGTTATGGGTCTCACTGATGTCTTATACTCTTTTCTCAAGCCCACTGAGTATCATTATAATCATTGATTTAAGTTCTCTATTAAACATAACACATATGTTTCACTTAGGTCTCTTGTGGTGATTTTATCCTGTTCTTTAATCTAGGACATATTCCTCAATGTCCTCGCTTTGCCTGTTTCTGTGTGTTAGGATAGTCAGTTCCATCTCTTACTCTTGAAAGTAATGGGTGGGCAAACTTTTAACAAGGGCTATAGTTGTCATCTTCCTACAGAGATGTGCAATTTAACAATATGCCCTTGTCCTCTGCAGGAAGTCAGTAGACATAATGTTGGCATGGTCTGTGCTGGTTTTCTAGGGAGAAGACCCCCAGTTTTAGGACTGAGGCAGCCTCCACTGGATGGAGGAGGGCAAACGGTGTAGGGAGGTTAGGTAGTGAATGCCAGTGCCTGGCTGTTTCCCACATGTGGCTATGTGATTATGCTGTGGGATAGGGAAGGAAATGGCACCTACCAGCAAATTTTCCCTGGAGAAGTTTCTCAGTGAAGTCTGAGGTTACTAACTAACTTTCCCTCCTGTATGCTCTAGGTATTTTTGAAACTTCTGCTTTTAAGCTGTTGTGCTTTCTCTTTAAGGCCGGAGACTTAGCTTCCTAATGCCCTCCAGATTTTCCCAGAGTGGAGCCACTGATTCTTGAAAGTTCTAGGGTTTAAGTCCTGCTGGTTGTAAGAACTTGTGAAATCCGGCTTCTCTGATATTCAAAGCCAAGTGCTATGGGGGATTCATCTTTCCTGTTCAGGGTCTCCATTGTGATATTCTGTTTCTCAGCCCTCTTTGTGCCCACAGACCTCTTTATCCCATGGATAGCCCACTATCCATTTAGGTCCCTACAGCATCTCCACCCTTCCTACTCTCTTCAATGTATCCTTTTCTCCACGTTTAGTTGTGGAGTTTGTTCTGCCAGTCTTTGGGTATTTTTTTTCTGAGTTATTTGTACTGATGCATTATCTAGTTACATCTGTGGGGTGAGGTGAGTTCAGAATCCTACTCTGCCATCTTCCCAGGAAGCTCAATAGTATCTTCTCTCTCAACATTTTAAGTTCAAAATCATGTTTTTTAAAAAAATTATCCCAAGAGATCTTAGTTTATGGCTATAATTGCATCCATCAGAGCTCTCTGAATTCTAATGTTTTTTTGTAGTTTACTGAGGATGCCTCCTTGGACTACTCAACTTGGTCTTCCTATTTGAAGTTACTTAGTCCCAATAGATGACTTATTATATTTCTGTGCCTGTTTATGAATGTGACTTTCCTTAGCACATCATAGTCCTATATAGAGATCTCTTGAACAGTAACTAAAAGATTTGCTTTTGTCCTCATTATTATCAGTTCCTGTTTTTATGGATGCTGTGTCCTCTCAAATTTCAAAGAGAATAAAAAATATAGATTTAAAACTTCTATTTCTTAAATAATACTTTCAGAAGAGAAACATTTACACTTTGAAGATGGTTTTCCATTTTTGCTTTGGGTTCATATTTTTCTGATGAGAAGTAATCATTGAAATCATTTCTATCTGTGTAATTTGGCATTCTCTTTGTCTACTTTTAAGATTTTCCTTTTTTTAACTTGGTTTTCAACATTTCACTCTGATGTGTGTGGGCCTGATTATATCATAATATATATATACATATATATATATTATATAAGTTGATATATATAATCAGTTTAGGGTTTGCTGAACATCTTGAGTATGAAGATTTCACCAATTTTGAGAAAATTTCAGCTATTTTTTCAACTACTTTTTCTATCACTTTCTTTCTCTCTTTTCCTTATGGGAATGTGATTACATGTTAGATATATGATAGTGTCCCAAATATTCCTCAGTCCCTCTTCATTTCTAAAATCATTCTTTTCTTGTCTTTAGATAGGTATTTTCTTTTTCTTTTTTTTTTAAGATTTTATTTATTCATGAGAGACACAGAGAGAGGCAGAGACACAGGCAGAGGGAGAAGCAGGCTCCATGCAGGGAGCCTGATGTGGGACTTGATCCAGGGACTCCAGGATCACGCCCTGAGTCAAAGGCAGATGTTCAACCACTGAGCCACTCAGGCATCCCTAGATAGGTATTTTCTACTGATGTATCTTCAAATGGTCTCTTTCTGCTGTCTTATCCAATTTGCTAGGCGAGAAGCCAGGAGACAAGAGTCTTACATGGAACTCCTTTCTTCTTCCAAGAATCACCTTCTCTCAAGAATCTACTTACTCTTGGTTGCTTTCCAGTGTTGATATTTGTATTTTGTTCAGGGTTTGTAGTTTTTATGTGTGGCAGGGTCTGTCCAATAGGAACTTGCTTTGCAATACTAGAAACAGAGCTGGGGATTTTAGATATGATATGATTCCTCAAACTGTCACTCATCTGATGGCGAATTGTTGAGACATTTTACATATAGCAGAATCCATTCATTCTTAAAAAGTCAGAACTATATTATTTTCTGTTAAGAGTAGAGTTGCTTTTTTTCATAAAATTTGAAATGTTTACACTTAAATATTTCAGGCCTTGAGAAAAGGAAAAATGAAGTAATAATTTATTATTATTTAATGAAGTATTTATTTATTTAATTTATTAAATTTATTAAATTTATTTAATTTAAGCTTCAAAGTCAGTTTTCCTGTGCAAAATCAATAGGAAGCTACAGCTGCAGAAATTATCCACCATTATGCCTGAGAAATGTGCAAGTCACTGTGTGTGCTCCAGTCATCATCTTGGTGATCTGTGGACTTTAGAAAGATAATAATTGTAACAATGAATTTATAGAAACAAGTACTGAAATTAATGCATTTTCCCCCCTTATATTACATTGTAGAAAGTAGCACATGCTCTGGAAATTGAGAACAAAGTCCTTCAGGAACAACTGAAACAGGCTTTACAGGTAAATGACATTATGTTCTTTTAAAATTGTTACCAAGTGAAGGAAATACCTGTAAGTAACTTTTAAATGAATAAATTTAACCTTGATAACTAATAGGTCTGTGTATTGTACTATTTTGCCAGATTTAAAGTATATTCATTTTATGTACTAGGAATATATTAATAAAATTTACTATTCATTCTTCTTCAAAACAATAAAATAGAAAATTAAGCTTTCGTCATCAAATAAAATAAATATATTTCAAACTGATACACTCTTATATGTAAAACAATGCAGGCATTCCAGCTCAATTAAACTAGGATGTTGGTTTTTACTGCTCTTTATCAAATTCTTGTTAAATGATTAAATGGAAATGGAGAAAGTTAGAAACATTTTCATAAGTGGGTACACAAAAGCGTAATTATTTGCATATTAACTTGCCTTTGGAAAAATGCAAGATAATACAAAAATTTATTAAAGATATAATTCCAAAATGTGGCTGAGGACAAAGTAGATATAAGAAAAGCAATGAAAGAGGCTGGGAAAATGGCAGAATAGGAGGATCGTACACACATCTCCTTTTGCAGCTATAGCTGAATAGCACTCATATCAGCATAAATAAACTGGAAAAAAACCTGAAGGCTGGAAGAACAAATGCCACAATTAAAGGTAGAGAAGACACCACCTCAAAGAGGGTAGAAAGGGTGAGGACATGGCAGGGAGCTAAATTTGCTTGCAGGACTATCCCAGGAGGCAGGGACACTGTGGGTAAAGAGACTGAGGGAAGAGAAACAGACTGTTACACTGTGGATCCCGCACGTAGAAGATGAATCCCCATAACATTAGGCTTTGGAAGCAAGAGGCTCCAAATTTTGTGAGTTCTTACAAGTAGCGGGACTTAAAGCCTGGAATTTAAAAAACTAACAAGCTGGCTCTGAGAATGCCCAGAGTGTTTTAGGAAGCTGAGTCTTGTCCTTAATGAGACAGCACAATAAACAACCTGTGGAGATACAGAATAGGAGTGGCAGTTTGAAAAATTCATGGAGTATATGGGAGGGAGAGTTATTTACTCATCTCAGAACTCAGAGTGGTGAGAATCAAAGGGAAACCCCTCCAGGGACAAAGGAGGTGGAGGGTGTCATCCAGCAAAAACATGGAGCCACCTGTAGGAACCAGAATTTACTACTTAACTTGCTTACACTAAGCCCCACCCTCTCACCCCTCAGCAGATCCAAACTTCCCAGTTACAGTTGCCTCAGTCCCAGGGCTGTAGGTCCCTTTCCCCAGACTACTCATGCAGACTTCACAAATACCTCCGCTCTTCACCTACTTATTTTGGTCCTCTTGGTCCTGGCAGTGGTGGCAGGCTCTATGGAACCTCAAGTGTAACCTTGTGAAAATTTTGTGCCCTTTATCCCTGGGATGCAAGGGTGGTTCAACATTCATAAAATAGACACTGTGATCACATCAATTAAAAAAACTCAGCCATTAGAAACAACAAATACCCACCATTTGCTTCAACGTGGATGGAACTGGAGGGTATTATGCTGAGTGAAGTAAGTCAATCGGAGAAGGACAAACAGTGTATGTTCTCACTTATTTGGGGAATATGAATAATAGTGAAGGGGAATATAAGGGAAGGGAGAAGAAATGTGTGGGAGATATCAGAAAGGGAGACAGAACATAAAGACTTCTAACTCTGGGAAATGAACTAGGGGTGGTGGAAGGGGAGGAGGGCGGGGGGTGGGGGTGAATGGGTGACGGGCACGGAGGGGGACACTTGACGGGATGAGCACTGGGTGTTATTCTGTATGTTGGTAAATTGAACACCAATAAAAATTAATTTATAAAAAAAAAAAAAAAGGAAAAAAAAAAAAAAGACAAGAACCATATGATTCTCTCAGTAGATGCAGAGAAAGCATTTGACAAAATACAGCATCCATTCTTGATTAAAACTCTTCAAAGTGTAGGGATAGAGGGAACATTCCTCAATATCATAAAAGTCATTTATGAGAAGCCCATAACGAATATCATTCTAATGGGGAAAAAACTGAAAACTTTTCCCCCAAGATCAAGAACAAGACAGGGATGTCCATTCTCACCACTGTTGTTCAACATAGTACTAGAAGTCCCAGCCTCAGCAATCAGACAACTAAAAGAAATAAAAGACATTCAAATTGGCAAAAAAGAAATCAAACGGTCCCTCTTCGCAGATGACATGACACTGTATATAGAAAAGCCAAAGACTCCACCCCAAGATTGCTAGAACTCATACAGCAATTCAGCAATGTGGCAGGATACAAAATCAATGCCCAGAAATCAGTGGCATTTCTATACACTAACAATGAGAAATGGAGAAAGAGAAATTAAGAAATCAATCCCATTTACAATTGCAGCCAAAAACATAAGATACTCAGGAATAAACTCAACCAAAGAGGTAAAGGATCTACTATCTAAAAACTACAAAACACTTCTGAAACCAATCGAGGAAGATGCAGAGAGATGGAAAAACATTCTGTGCTTATGGATTGGAGGAATAAATATTGTGAAAATGTTTATGCTACCCAGGGCAATTTACACATTCAGTGCCATCCCTATCAAAATACCATGGACTTTCTTCACTAATCTTAAGATTTGTATGGAATCAGAAAAGACCCTGAAAAGCCAGAGGAATGCTGAAAAAGAAAACCAAAGCGGGGGGCATCACAATGCCTGACTTCAAGCTGTATAAAAAGCTGTGATCATCAAGACAGTGTGGTACTGGCACAAAAACTGACACATATGTCAATGGAACAGAATAGAGAACCCAGAAATGGACCCTCAACTCTGTGGACAATGAATCTTTGACAAAGCAGGAAAGAATATCCACTGGAAAAAGGACAGTCTCTTCAATAAATGGTGTTGAGAAAATTGGACATCCACATACAGAAGAATGAAGAATTCTTACCAATAGTAAGAATATGGTGTAAGAGACTATTCTCTTACACCGTACACAAAGATAAACTCAAAATAGTTGAATGATCTAAATGTAAGAAAAGAATCCATCAAAATCCTAGAGGAGAACACAGGCAACAACTTTTTTGAACTTGGCCACAGCGTTTTTTTTTTTTTTGCAAGACACATCTTTGAAGGCAAGGGAAACGAAAGCAAAAATTATTGGTACTTCATCAAGATAAAAAGCTTCTGCACAGCAAAGGAAAGAATCTGCAAAACTAAAAGACAACCTACAGAATGGGAGAAGATATTCACAAATGACATTTCAGATAAAGGGCTAGTATCCAAGACCTATAAAGAACTTATTAAACTCATCACCCAAGAAATAATCCAGTTATGAAATGGGCAGAAGACATGAACAGACTTTCTCCAAAGAAGACCTACACATGACCAACAATCACATGAAAAAAATGCTCCACATAACTTGCCATCAGGGAAATACAAATCAAAACCATAATGAAGTACAACCTTACACCAGTGAGAATGGCTAAAAATAACAAGACAGGAAACCACAAATGTCAGAGAAGATGTGGAGAAAGGGCAACCCTCTTGCACTGTTGGTGGGAATGTAGCTACTCTGGAAAATAGTGTGGAGGTTCCTCAAGAAGTTAAAAATAGAGCTACCTTATAACCCAGCAATTACACTACTGAGTATTTACCCAAAGATACAAATGTAGTGATCCAAAGGGCATCTGCACACCAATGTTCATAGCAGGATGTCCACAATAGCCAAACTCTGGAAGAAGCCATGTTGTCCTTCAACAGAGGAATGAATAAAGAAGATGTGGTATATATAAATATACACAATGGAGCCATCAGAAAGGATAAATACCATTTGCTTCACTGTGGATGGAACTGGAGGGTATTATGCTGAGTGAAATAAGCCAATCAGAGAAGGACGATCATCATATGATTTCACTCTCATGCAGAATATAAGAAATAGTGAAAGGGACTATAAGGGAAAGGAGGTGAAACTGAAGAAACCTCCCCCCTTGTAAGTAGGGCCAGCCCTAATCCAGAGGCAGCCCATCCAGGCGCCTTCCTGAAATTTTAGCAACTAAAAGCATTCTGTTTACAATAAGAAAACCATTCCCCCCACACCCTGATTGGAATGTCCCTGAATAGGTTCATGTTGACCTTCTGTGAAATCAACCTGGATGCTATGCGATTCCCGCGGTTCTTTGTCTTTAGGCGGTTTCTTTCCTTTTGCCTTTAAAAGATCCCTGTAATTGCTAATCGGTGCTCTTTTCCTCCTGGGAGGAGAGAGCCCGTTTGCGCAAATGTTCAATAAACCCTCTTGCTAATTGCATCTGCCTGTCTGGGGTCTGAGTCTCTGGGGCGTCCACCGGGACACGTTGGCTCCCGTGAGCCAGGGTCCAACAAAACGGGGGAAAAATTAGAGAGGAAGACAAACCATAAGAGATTCCTAACTGGGAAACAAACAAAGGGTTGCAGAAGGGGAGGTGGGTGGGGGGATAGGGTGACTGGATGATGGGCACTAAAGAGGGCATGGGATGAGCACTGGATGTTATACTATATGTTGGCAAATTGAATTTAAAAAAAATTCTGTGCCGCACCCATGCACTACAGGTCCCAGTAGCAGTGGGCAGGTCTCATTTTACAAGTAGACTGGAATGCACCTTGTTAAATGTGCTACACCACATCCGGAACCAAATACTGTCAACAATAGGCAGATAATCTCTGCAGATGACTGGAGTGAAGGAAAAAGTGCCTACTACACAACAGCAGAGCACATGCAACACATAAGAGATACCCCTGAGCATCAGTTTCTTGGGACAGGGACACTGCACTGCAGGCAGTACAGTATCTCTTCTTCATAAGTCCATTTTTAAGAGCAGGAGATGCAGTTGACTTTCCTAAGACACAGAAACAGAGGCGGTTAGGCAAAATGAGACAGGAATATATCTCAAAGAATAGGACAAAACCATATGAAGAGACCTAAGCAAAACAGATATAAGTATTATATCTCATAGAGAAATTAGAATAGTGATTAGAATGATCCTCAC